ATTTATTTATTTATTTATTTATTTATTAAAAATATACATTAAAGTTGTATAGAGAGGTGTTGTTATATTTTTTATGTCGTTATTTTAATTTCAATTTTTATCGTTATGAATTTTAGATAATATAAATGTTAGTGATTTATTTTTTAATAAATAAATAAAAATAATGTATATAATTTAGACTAAATATAATAGTTGCATGTATGAATTTGGTGATGAAAATGAGTTGTAGATGACGCTTAGAAAAAAAATTTGTGAAGTGTAGGTGAGAAAGAAAGGAGAAATTATGAATATGCAAAAGAACTCTACATTTAATGCTGGAACACTAGTTTTAATGTTGAAGTGTTGAAAGTATCTCAAATAAGAAGTTCAAACAAAGATCCAGCGTTGTAGTGGTGAAGAATGAGCTCTAGCAAAGATCCAATGCTACAACAGTAGTTAAGCGCTGCAGTAATGGAGAAAAATTAGGCTAGTAGAAGTCCACCATTGAAGTGCCAGACTGAGCATTGCAACAACGGGGTAACTAATCAAATTTGGTCTTAGGAACTCATAAAAGTTATAGTCTTGGAATTAATTTTTCAATGACTTTAGAATCACCTAAAAAGGTGGTTCAAAATTCTAGTTATGACCTTTTTAGTGAATAAAGGTCAAGTTGTCAACAATTATGCAAATTGTTGCAATTTTGTGATTTTCAGTACAATAGATAACCTTATTAGCTTTCATATGAGATAAAGATAAGTTTGATTAGATTTGTGGAGCACAAATTGTGTTGTCTTATGTGGAAGTTGTTGTTGTATACTAGTTGATGATTACATGTTGAAAATTATGTGTTAACTCTTTTATAACATATGGTAATATATAATGTTCTAGCTATTAAATGTTGAGATTATTATACATGTTGCAAGTGGGTGGTTGAAAAATGTGCTTCAAGTTATTCAATTATATTGTTAAGTTGTTTAGTTATTTAAAGTTGAAATTTGTAAAGTTGTATGCTATATAAAGTGGTAAAATTGTGGACATGTGGTTGAGATACATGTCTAAGTTGAGATACATAGATGTTAGAGATGAATTAAGTTGTATTTTTTTTAAAAGTTATTTTCCTCTAAATTCTATGTGGTTTTGGCATGGAAT